GAAGAAATCAGAATAAAAACTTTGCATTCATGGCGAATAATTCTCTGTGCCAATATTTTTTCCCAGCACTGTATATGTGAGGATATTTCTTAGGTGCTTTTCGTCAAAAATTTAACTCCGACGAAGAAGTTTTTATTTCTGTTTCAAAGAAGCACTTCCAATATACACACGACCGCCAAAAAAATTGGCAGCCTATCGGCAAAAAGATAAAAAATAAATTCAGCTACCTTATAATATATATTAAACCCCTCTTATTTAATTGTTAATTTGTTAATAGATAGTTTGTTAATATTTATTTATCTGGAAATATCTTCACATATACAGTGCTGGGAAAAAATATTGGCACAGAGAATTTTTCGCCATGAATGCAAAGTTTTTATTCTGATTTCTTCTCTAATTGTTTTTTATAAAAATATAGTTAGTATGAAGTTCTACNATAATAGTTAATTTGTTAATAGATAGTTTGTTAATATTTATTTATCTGGAAATATCCTCACATATACAGTGCTGGGAAAAAATATTGGCACAGAGAATTATTCGCCATGAATGCAAAGTTTTTATTCTGATTTCTTCTCTAATTGCTTTTTATAAAAATATAGTTAGTATGAAGTTCTACTTTCAAATCAGATTTTTTAGAAAAATTCTAAGTATGCAGTTTTATAGCCCATTTAATTTTAGTATAATAAAGTGCACCCTTGAATAGCTAGAAAACCTCTTTGTTTTTTGGCAATTTTTTATACGCAGTTTACGACTGTTCGTAGGCGATGAACAATTTAAAGCGAAAAAGTGTTCGAAAAAGAGTCGTAAACGGCTATCATAAACGATTTTTAATCCGGTTTTTCTTCGAGAAAATATCCAATTACTAGCTTGTTTACGATGATTTTGCTGGCTGGGATGTAATTAAAAATACAAATTTTCAAAAAATATCAAAATTGTATTCTTGTCTGCTTACCACGAAAGACGCCAATGCGATAATTAGTGCATACGAACTAAGCATTTTTAATAGCGCTTTCTTTTCTCGAAAAAATGCTGCACTTATTCTGCCTTGTGTTAGCGCTGNTGTAATTAAAAATACAAATTTTCAAAAAATATCAAAATTGTATTCTTGTCTGCTTACCACGAAAGACGCCAATGCGATAATTAGTGCATACGAACTAAGCATTTTTAATAGCGCTTTCTTTTCTCGAAAAAATGCTGCACTTATTCTGCCTTGTGTTAGCGCTGTCAAATTTTCATGTTCTTTTCTCAGCCCTTTCACAAGGCGTCGAGTTCTTTTCTCAGCACGGTTGCGTGCTGCCTTTTCAGCCCTCAAATAAACGTGAGGGTGAGAGTTGCACGGTTAATTTTTAATTTACGCTTGTAAAAATACAATTATTTTCCGTATCAGAAATAAGTGTTTTGCTTTAAAATTACTAAAGACTTACAGGCCAAGTGAATAATTCAGCTGTATTAAGTTCTATAAATAAATTGTGATGGAGTAGTATAATAGGTTTGTTCCACAAGCTACTCGAAGTCACTTCGAGTTAGACATACGCGTTCCACAAGTAAGTTTTAGAGTTTTGTTTGATATACGCTGACAGTTTGAGCTTTCCTCGAGTTTTTCTACAAGTAGCTTGTGGAACAAACCTAATTTCTGTTTCATTCTCATATAAAGAACGCCACATTTTCAAAGCAAGACTTTTCGTATAAAAGGGCAGAACTTTTTTGAGAAAAGAAAACACTATAAGTCTCTAAAGGCAGTGTCACACGATTGGGCGTTTGCCCAAAATTTGGTGCAAATCGTATCCCAATCGTGTGAATGCACAAACATTTTTCGTTATCCCAACTACGACCAACAATTTGTACAAATTTCTCAATAGAAGTTGGCTGTATTTTACCATTCTTGTGACTACAAAAAAAATGGGATCCTAATTTTTTCATTTTGTACCAATAGCCCAAAATAAGAAATGTTCAAATGTACCAATCGTATGACACGGTGTTAAGGAAATCGTATGCGTTAACAAAACGACTGAATTTGAATACATACTTGATTTTTTTTTTATTTCCAATAGCTATTAGCTTGTGAAGGTTAAAGAAAACATGCCTAATATATGCTGTTTGTATGTACATACGTACATACATATGTGTCTATGCTATATGTATGTTTATGCACACACGTGCTTTCAATTTATATTGCGAATAACAAAAGTATAAAATGAAAAATTTTCATCAAGTGCATGCTGTGTATGCTAGATAACATACAATCAGGCGAAAAATTTAAACGAATTGTTTGGCTTAAAGTATAGAGTGAGATAACGCTTAAAGTATGCAACGAAAATCATTTACTTCCGTTTACTTTTATATCAGTGGTCCCTACAAAAAGTAAATATGATTGCGACACCATTGCGATAGTGATAGAGAGTGCCGAAAGCCTTTCGAATCGCATCGCTTTTCGTATCGCATTACAGAGTAACCCCCCAGATCTGTCTCAAACCCCTTTGCTAAAGCCAGAAGCCAGATCGCCGCCAGGCCAACGTCGATTTCAGACGCCACGGCGACACTGTACCTTTTCACACGCAACACAAGGCAATTTGCTGATGATAATGAGAAAGCTAATTTGCCAAGCACGTGTGCGGTGAGCGGGTATGGGTTGTCGGAGGTGCGTTGACTATTATTGTGCTGCCTTTGAAATGGCTATGCGAACGACGTTTAAGTTATTGTTGTGGCTTTTCTTTCTTGTAATGTAAAGTGTCTACGTCCGTTGAAGTTCACTCCCCTACCACTATAAATGCCTACTATTCCCTAGTACAACACACACGCACATAATTGTTGAGCACTCAGCATAGCCTAGGCGTTAATTGGAAGCGATGATAGGTAAAAGAAAGTGTACAAATTATAGTCAGTATATATTTTTTTTAAGTGACGAAAAGGAAATAAAAAAAAGAAGACAGAAGAAAAGCTATACTTTTAATTCTGCCATTCGCAGTCGTATGATGTGCATATCGAGGGCTTATATTCAATACCCTCTATCTGCAAAAACTCAATTTTTCAGGAGAGCAAAAAAACTGTTTTGGCAGCTGTTTTTAAAAGTGTTAATAATTTTAAGTACACACGCATGTCTTAAATATTCACGCAATATACTAAAACTAGTTTTTTACTTTTAATTCATTTAATTTTAGTTTAAAGATCAGATAGAGGTTATTGCAATTCGAATTATAACTATTTATATAGAAAAATTTGCTGATAGAGGGTTTTGCAGAATAATGAAAATGTCAGTTCTTTAGACGTAAATACTATGTTAAACTAAGATTTTAATGCAGAAATCATAGGTGTGAAAATTCGTTCCCTTCTATTCCGATGTGCCCAGGTAACCACATAATTTTAAATGTGTTTTTGTGTCAAAAGAGTATTTCACGTGATTTCGAAATTATATGAGAATCATTAGCACTGTTAAAAGAGGCTTCGCTGGCTGGTTTACTGTCCGTTCAGATGAGGAAATTTCCTTCGTTTATAGAGGCGAAACGTACAGCTGATTCGGCTGTAAATGCCGAGCAGTACGGGGGAAAAGCACTGAAGACAATTGTAACACCCAGCCCTTTTGTTACCACCATATCTGGAACCGTCTGTGAAAATAAGCTCCCAGGTAATTTATGAGTATCAAACTGGGCAAATGCCCTTGCGGTAGAGTTTTTACTTTAGTAAGCATCGGATGATGTCGAAATCTTTGATGTAGCTTAATATACGAAATAAAGGTGATTGCTTGCTACATCAGTTTTTTTGTTGAAAGCAGGATTCGACGTGAGAGATAGCTTTTATTGGCGAGGTGGGAAATGCACGGATGCTTTTTCTCCTCTGCTACATAGTAAGGTGTTTCTAGCAATTTAAGATGTTTTTTTGCGCAGTGTCCATAAATTACGAGCCCAAAGTCAACTTTTACATAATGACAGTTCTGCTTAAAAGTAGGTTTATTGTAAAAAATCATTCCAAATATTTTCAATGTATCAGTATAGGGGAGGGGTGTTAGACAAGGAGAGGGTTGGATGTATGTATTTATTTGTATTTTCTGCATATGTGAAAAAATTACTTTTTCAGCTTAAATCTGAGCTCCTGAAGATTTGGACCAATTGATTAGATCGTTTAGTATGTTAGAAAAAATAATTTTTACTTGCGTCAAGTCCTTAGTCTTAGAAAAAATTAAAATATCATTAGCGTATTTAGTTTGGCAATAGGAATAATAATAGCAGTTTCCCACTCTTGATGATATAACCCTTGAAATAAAATGTAGTTATGGAGTTTAATGACTCTATGTTTGATGGGATACGGATGATTTTTTAGAACGGGGTACGGGATTTTGTCTGCACCAGGGCTTTTGCCTGTCATCGAAGAGATGGTTGGTCAAACTCTTAAATAGATATGAGTAAGAGAGAATTGTGGGAATCTTCGGACCAAGTGGAGGCAAATAAACATATACACATCGCTCATTTACTTTAGTAGTGTCATAATCCAAAAAATACAAATTTTGAGTTGAGTATGCAGAAATTATCGCTACGTCTTCTTCTATTTCGTGTAAAAATATCATAGCTGTATCGATTAAGCCCTGTATGCAGCTCTCAAGAAAACGGTCAAGAAAAAATTGCCATTATTTCGCGTGTGTGTCCAAGGAATTTTGACATTTTTTGATACTTCACAGCCTGTTGCCTCACTCTTTCCTCAAGAAATAATGGAACGGGCATATATTTCTGTTGCAAAACTGGGTTGCCTTATGCTCTTTCTTCACAAAAAACTTTAGAAAACCGTAGTAGAAAGCGTAGTAAATTTCTTAAGAACTGCGTACTGCCTTAAGGAAATTTGACTCAAGAAAATTTCTTAGCCATTTCTTGTACGTCATTTTATATGGAGTTTTTGCTTTTCTTGAGAGCTGCATACAGGCCTTTACCAGAATCTCACTAGAATAAAATATGTATTCATTTTTAGTATCGGCGTATATGTAAATTCAAAACTTTAAAGCCGTCTTTCTCGAGTTTTGATTTTTTGAGTTATGACATTATTGTAGTAAATGAGCGGACATGTATATACCTGTAAGCTACCGGCCAAACCCGATCTTAGAATAAACTATTTTTGTAACTCTCATCATCAGTCCAACTGAAGCTACGCAGTCCACAAGATTTGGTTTCGGTTGGACATCGCATTAGGTAGAACAAGTTTAGCCTGGGCAAAACTAGTTTGACCTAAGATCGGATTTTACCGGAACATATACATACATGCATCGGCACATGTAGCTTACCCAGTCTTTATTTGACCTGCCACAAAAAAATGGTAATGAAAACGATTTTCCAGCAAAATTGTGTAGATAGAGGATTTTGCTTTTGTAACAAAATGTTATTGCAGATAGTGGATTTTTCAAAATGAGAATATAATACCATAAAAGCAAAATTTTAAGTTTGGCATTATTGTCATGGCTGAAGGATAAATAAGAGCTCACGTTACCATCAAAAACTCATTTTCATCAAAATTGTAGATAGAGGGTATTGAATATAAGCCCTCGATATGTACATATAAATAAAGAGTACATTTCCATAGGTATATGCATGTATGTTTGTAGGTAAAAGCTTGGCATGTTACTGAAATGATAGAGAGCCCCTCAAAGTAGGCCATCAATTTTAAGTATAAATTAAGCATAGTGCTGCATTGAAATGTGAACTGCAAATGAGCAAAAGTGTTGAACACAACTCCGCACGATTGTAATCATATATAGTAGTTGAAAAGTTACAAAGTCTCTAAAGCTGAGTATGAGAAAACGGGAATGTAAATAAGAGTACAAATAAAAATTATAAATTAGCTTAATATTTAAAATGCGCAAATTTTTTAATGGTATGTATTTCCATACGCCCATGCCGGTTACGTACTCAATGCTCAGACATGCACATGTATTGACAAAAAAGGACATACATATGTAGGTAATACCAAAGGAAAGCAGTAGAATTTCGTTAGTTAGATTCTACCCAACGACGAAATATCTATGAAACAAAATTGTAAAATATTCATGAAATGCATAATAAGAATAAAAAATCAATAAATAAACAGTAAAAATGCAGCTACTGGAATAGTTGAATATATAATCATGGGCATCACCAGGATCGAATTTAGGGGGGCTGGCATATCAAAAAATCCCTCGAAAATTTTGCTTAAAAATTTGAATGTAGTTGATTAATCCTTATTAATAAAAATGGGTGTTTTCGTCGGAAGGTCTACTGCGAAAAAAAATTAAAGTCATATATCTAACGTATTTTGGGCCAATTTGTCTGCTTTTTTTTTAATATATACTAGTTATGCAAGCAAAAAAAAATTTTTGCTAGGTGGCGCCAGGGTCGAGATATTTTGAAAACCGTATTTATGGTCCGATTTGGTTCAAATTTGGCGTATGCAGTTGAAACATATTAAATCACAAATTTACAAAAAATTTACCCTGAATTGGCGCTGAAGTCAAAATACAAAGTATATTCGGCATAAAATCCATGTTTTGCTTGCGGTAAAAAATCGTTTAAAAGCAATATTAAAATACATATAATGATGTAAATTTATGTCACGACTCGTAACGTTTCACACTTGGGGTTGTAAAGGATAATTGAAACAAGTTGTATTAATTC